TTAGTTTTATATGTTATTTTATTTTATTTATATTTTGATTTAAAATAGAAGATAGTTGATGTACATAACATACTTTTATTTTGTTGAATGCTAAATAAATTAATTTATATGATGACGACGAAAAAGCGGCCTGCAATTTAGAGTGATCACCAGTGGCCAAAAGTGTTAGACAGTGGGCCTGACAGAGCAGCTGATGAAGGTGGTTGACGGTCAGCGGCTGACAAAGGTGGTTGACGGTCGATAGTAGCAGATGATTATGGGCGATGAAAAATAGTCAAGTGATGGTTATTTTTATAAAACAATCAAAACACTAAAAAATAGGGGTGTAAACAAATCAAATATGAGCAAGCCCAGGCTCAACTCTTGTTCGGCTCGTTTATATTTCGAGCTCAAAAAGTGTGTTTGTGTGTTTGCTCGTTTGCTTAACGAGCCGAACACTAGTTGTTCACAAACAAAGAGTCGTTTTGACAACCTTAATCACGTAGCCATAAGATGTTAATGGTTGGGGCAATATTTAAAAATTATTGGTTATATTAAAATATCATTTGAATCTAATTTAATAATTTTGATTATAAATCTTTGTGGCATGTAGTCAATTAAATTTTATAAAAATACTACTCATCAATATATATAATTGAAGATGAGTAGCATTTCGAGCCAAAACTAGCCGAACTTGAGTGAACAAAGCTTTGTTCGTATTCGGCTCATTAACTTAACTAATAAGCCGAACACGAGCTGTTCGCCGAGCCGTTTTGACAGTCCTACTCAAAAACACTAGATTACTTTGTTGAAGTATTTTATTTCAAGACATATAAGTCGCAAATATTTGTTATGACAAGATTTTATCGCAAAAATGATGCTGCTAAATCGTAGTCTTGAATTATAGCAGCTCATAACTGCGACTCCAATTCTTATAATAGCAAACTTAGAAATGAAAGTATAACAATATAAATATTAATTTTGGTACCATTTCAAATATTTAAAAATGGCCAACTGTATGGAAGAGTAAAGTAATACGGCAAATTACCAAACGATTGGTTTTATATTTCTAATCAAATGATGCATTTGCCCCACAACACAACTCATAAGAACATAAACAATAACTATGGCATCTTTTTCATTAAACCAAAATATTGAACCATTTTAATTCATTACTGCTTTAGACTTCAATTCATGTTATGCAGCACACTCCACACTAATTGTTGCTGTCATTGCCACCTCATATTTCTTTCTACAAAAATATAAGTAAAAGAGTTCTGTTTTCTTTCTTCAGTTTCTAAGTTGGCACTTCTAACAACTAAGTACACCTTAGAAAATATTATATTCGGACGTCCAGTCAGAGGATGCCAGGTACACATGAGTTCGCGTCGATGTGGCCTCCCATAATCGGAAGTCCAGATAGGGTTGTCAAAACGGTTCATTGTTCGCGAATAGCTCATGTTCAACTCGTTAAGAAGCTCGTGTTCGGCTCGTTCGCTAAGTTAATTAGCCGAACACGAACAACATGAACAAATATTTATTCGTTCGTGTTCGACTCGTTTTGTCTCGAAATACTAATAATCAATTATATATATATATTTGATGAGTAGTATTTTTAAAAAAATTAATTGACTACAAGGCTACAAAGATTTATAATCAATTGAAAGTATTAATGAAAAAGATAGAATACAAAATATTAAATTAGATTCAAATGATGTTTTAAATCTTACCACAAACCTTAACATTTTAAGGTGATTAGGGTTGTCAAAACGATTCATTGTTTGTGAACAACTCGTGTTCGGCTCGCTAAGCAAACGACCCGAACACGAACACACTTTTTGAGCTCGAACGTGTTCGGCTCGTTTACACCCCTACATCCGGATGAATCATTTAAATATGCTGTGTTTTTGGACCGTTTTTAATGGGTTAATTAAGTTTGGCTAGAAGTTATAATATGATACAATGAGACTCACACTGCTAAACTAAATCTCAAGTCTTATAGGTGTGTTCTACATAATTGTTTTTTAGACCCAGAATTTTGTCTTTAGAAAGGAAAGTTTAAGAAAGTGATTAAGACAATACATGCTTTGAAACATACTTTAGTAGTTTAATTCTTGAATTCTATAATTTGTTTAGCATGCTAGTGGTTTGCTAGCTCTTTTACATGACCTTAAATTTTTATATTCTTGTCTTATAGGTGTGTTTTACATAATTGTTTTTTAGACCCAGCATTTTGTCTTTAGAAAGGAAAGTTTGAGAAAGTGATTAAGACAATACATGCTTTGAAACATACTTTAGTAGTTTAATTCTTGAATTCTATAATTTGTTTAGCATGCTAGTGGTTTGCTAGCTCTTTTACATGACCTTAAATTTTTATATTCTTTATATGATGTAAATTTTGAAAAATTGGCTTAGAATGTTTTTTTTCTTTCATAACGGCACCTTAACTATTAAAAAAGACGAAATTTATCTAGTATTGGAGAGGCACAACATGGTCCAAGAGAGGGATGGCTATTGAAGAGTGGATGAGGAGGGTGAGCCCCGAGAATAATACTTTTCCTATAATGAAATGAATAGATAATCAACTTATCATGAATCAAATGAGATATATTTACTAGCATGTGTTGAAATCGAGTGCATTTGTAGAATGAAGGAGAAATTGAAAGGTCTTAAAGTAATGTATGGTAAAGCTAATAATGACATCAGTAGAGGAACAAGTACCAAAATAAATAACTAATTTTTTATTTGATCGCAATTCCTTAATCCTTCAATACTTACCAACAATCACTCTGGAGAGTTTTGATTCTTTGAGTGACCTAAGATATATGTAAACTGATCAAATGGGCTTATTGACCATTGATAAAATAAAAAAAAAATTGAAGTAACAAATGTCAAATTGGAGTACATGAAAAGATGAATTTTATGTTAATTTTTCTCAAGTTAGTTTTGGGATTCAATGATCATAGAAGGAAAAAAAAATCACTTTCCACCTTATACAACATGCCTGAGCATTTTTAGTTGTTATTAAAAAGTATAAGCAGGAGTCCGTAGACTGATGCGAATACTAAGAAAACATTAAAAGATAAATAGGACAGTGGTATGAACATAAAGAAAGAATATCTTTAAAAAAAGTGAATAAGGTATATTCAGCTAAGTGGAATTGATAAGAGCTCTTTTAAGCTTAGTTTTGATAAAAAAATGGAATGATTTATGGAGGAAAGATCAATAAAACTAAAATCGAAGACGACGGTACTAAAAATTAGTAAATCTGTTTATTGGGAGCATGTAGCCTCCAACTTTAACCATCTTAGAATCTACTCCAAGCACAATTGATTGAGGTGATAATATTGCCAATGATAGTCTAAAGATGTTTCTTGATTGTATTAAGAGTTTTTTTTTGCAAAAGATGAAGCAAACAAAAAAAAAAAAGGAAAAAAAAGTAAATCTGTTTATTGGGAGCATGTAGCCTCCAACTTTAACCATCTTAGAATCTACTCCAAGCACAATTGATTGAGGTGATAATATTGCCAATGATAGTCTAAAGATGTTTCTTGATTGTATTAAGAGTTTTTTTTTGCAAAAGATGAAGCAAACAAAAAAAAAAAAGGATAAAAGAAACTCCATTGAACCATCATGATGGAAACTATTGTTCTTGAAGAAGGATAGGTTTAAAATAAAAATTTTGAAGCACATCTACTTGATCACAAGCATATCACTGCTGTACATATTAAAATTATTACAATCATCTTCTTATAAGCTATTAAAGTGATCTTAACAAGTTTGGAACACTCCAGTTGGGATCTCACATAAGGTTTAGCCACAGAAGATAAGAACGATTACTAATTATATGGGAATTTAAAGGGAGGAGATGTGTAGATATTTGATGGTAGGTTTTTAGATTTATTAATGAGTTGCAATTAGAAATAGTTTCATTAGATAGAATAAAGACTAGAGTAATGATAGAGCTTTGAGAGGGTCAAGTGAGGGAAGGATTTCATATCAAAGATATTATTACTCATATACATTATAAGAAGTATGTCTCCAATCATAACAAACCTTCAAAATTTTTTCTTTTCCTCTTCCAAATTATTCAAATTTCATCCAAATAGGAGGAGAAAATTGAAACGCAAACATAAACCCTAACAAAAGTTAATTTAAATTCAGTACTTGTAAAGTAATCCATAAACAACAAGGAATCAATTTTGCTTGCCCCTTCTAGATTCCCCATGGATCCCAACAATAGAGGATAAGGCATGAATTCTAATCCACGAAGGAAAGAAATTTTATTAATTATTTTTTCACTGTGAGGAGAGGTATAAATATTTGCGTACGTCCAACGTACGTAGAGCTGTGTACGTCGGTAGGTTATAGGAAGGGAATTGAGGGGTTATACCAGCGTTATACCCCATGTAACCTACCCGTAACTATTAAATTCTGCGCTTCTATTTTCATATATTTTAAGTTACAGGTAGGTTACAGTGAGGTTACAAATGAGATATAACGTGAATATAACCCCCCAATACCCTCCCTGTAATCTACCAACGTACGCAGTTCTACATACGTTACACGTACGCAAATATTTCTTGAGGAGAGGAGCGTTTGTAAATTAAAAAAAACAAATTATTCCATGACAAAAGCTACATAAAACTAAATTTCCTCCTAAAATAATCTGTCTAAAAATTAATTTATTTTTTAATTAATATCTAAACGATGATCAATCATGAATTACATATTATAAAGCATGATATTAAATAAATAAACTTCTCTTTCAATTATTAGGCACAGATCATCTCCTTCATGTCTTCATCGACGGATGTAATAATTATACGAATCATGCAACAAGCCGGTCGTTTCACCCGCTGTCGAAGTGCCGGGAAAGCTAATTAATCTCCTTAAATTTGTAATTTTTAAATTTCTTTTGTATTATATAGAAAAAATAAAAAAAAACTTTATTGTTCTCATCGCTAATCTGCTTAATCCGCACGCATACGCTTATAAGTCGGGAGGCAGTGTTCATTTAATAGGAAGAGTACTTGCTCTCCACACAACAATCCTTCGTTGCCATCTCCGGCGATCAACGGCGGCGGGTGCAAAGTCGTAATTTTTCTTCTCCCCGGTCAGTCTCTTTAAATATAGGAGGGCATAGAAAATATATTAGCATAATAATATTTCTTTTTGATTTTTTTTTTTCTTCCGTGGAATAAATTAGTCATATTTGAGAAAATTTCATAAAATCTTTAAATTCATACAAGATTTTCAATTTCATCCTGCTAAATATTATATTTATTAGCCTTAAATAATAATTTAGAAACAATTCAACACATGCAGACAAAAATGATAATAAAGTTGTAGATAATACATTGTAATATACGATAATACATTGTAATATACGATAATACATTGTAATATGCCAATATTTATGCAAAAAATAAAATAAGAATTCAGGCAGCCAAAATATATACTAAGTGAATTTAATTTTAAGAGAAATGGTTAATAATAATTTGTGATTTACTTGTATGTGCGGATTGATGGTATTAGAATGGTATTGAGGACGTCTGAATTCCTCAACGGGAAAAAACGTAGCGACTTAATATATTCTCGAACCACAATGCCGCCAACAATACCACCAATCCGCATTAATATATTTACTGAAGCTCAAGGCAGAGTTTGTCCATAGCGTTATCTTATGAATTGTCATGTACATGAAATGTTGGTTGAAGCTCCATTAATTTCCACATGGAAGAAGAGGAAAAGTCTCGAGTCCATGTCTATGTTAATCCTCTCTTGATATGGCATAGCACATGGGGTCCGGTCACCGCCTGCCTTTTTATTTGCTGAAATTTCCTCACCCCTTCATCTTCGTCGCTTAAACTCTGTGTGTCGCCGGACAGGGAGAGATGGAGGATGGGGTGAAGATGAAGAGCTTCAGGGATGAGGATTTGGAGACCAGAAGAATATTTCTGAGGAGTTATCCTCTGCGATGGGACGAGGAGGAAGAAGAAGAAGATGAAGGGGAAGGAAAAGAAGAGAGCCTTAGAGAAGAAGTGGTGTCGAGAAAAAAGCAGAGGTTTTTCAAGGTGAAGTTGCTTGTGAAGCAGAACCTCATCACTGTGCTCCACTGGGGAGAAAGGAAGCTGCTGTTGCTGAAGAAGATGAAGAACAAGGTTGCGTTTTACCTCGTCGCCTGTCATCCTTTTGGTTTCAAAACTTCTACCAAGTTTATCACAGCTTGATTTTCAGTTAAAGATAATTCACAAGCTGTTTTCTTTTTGGTTTTTGATGCTTTATCTTCAGGAAATAAATCCCATGTACACTAGTATTATGACTGCAGGAAGTAATATTTTGCTGTTCTGAAGGTTTTCTCCAATATTCTCTTTGTATTGATATTTGGTTTAGCATGATCTCAGGTCCTATTTTCGGTCTAGTTGCAGGTTTTGTTTTTTCTTCCCTGATTCTGTTAAAATTTTGATCTTACAAAGAAATAAAGATTTCTGTTTCTAATTTTGAAATTAAACGGACATAGCAGGTTTATTATGCTTTTTTTATAAGCATGGTTTCATCATGGAAATTTGTTTTTGGGCAGAGTTCTGTGAAATCTTCTTTGATCTTAAAATCAAATACTGACGTCAGATTCAGTCTGTTAGATAAAGGAATCAAGAGAAGGGTTTTTCACTCGATTTGAGTATTGGACTTCCTAAAGTTCATTATTTTAAAAGCTAATCAAATAAAAGATTAATATAACTAATCAAACTGTACTTTTGATTTGAGAAGCAGAATTATATTATGGATGGAAGATACTGCCAGTTTAAATGAGCACATGAGTTCACAGGCTGAACAGTTAGTTTGGTAGGGAGAAATCACAGCTATCACGATTAAACATGCCAGCTCTGCTTGAGGCAGAGTGAATGAAATGAAATGAATCTTAAATAATATATACATAAGTTGATAATGAATTTAGACCATTAATTCGGGTTTTTCTTTTTTTTTTTCTTTCAAGTGAACTCCAAAATTTTATTTTTATTTTATTTTTCACCCGTAAATCTTCAAGGTGGGCAAATAAACTCCCAGGTTACAAATACAGTTGAGGCCTATTCTTAGGTTGTCATAATGCAACGGCCAAAAACTTTGGCTATGCTGAAGTAAGGTGGAGGGTAAACTTTCATCATCATCCACACACTTCCCACACAAGCAAGAAAGAAATGGGAACTCTCGAAAGAGCTGTTTTCATACATCTTAGGGTCTGGTTTGGACAGTTGCAGTTGATTGAAAAAACTAATGTGCAAGGAAGTTATTATAAAGAAGTAGTGTTTATTTGTATTATATAGTTGTGCAACAGCCGTGTTGTATCTGTTCATGAAGAAAAAAACATATTTTCTTTGGTATTGTTGTAAGATAGTTATTCCAAGCTTAACAATTCAATCATGAAAATAGAAATTACATTCAGAATACTTAAAAACTCATAAGTTCAAATGTTACATTTAGAAGCAACATCTCACTTAACAGTAACACAACAATCAAAATAAAAAATTAACAATATTAAAAAAATAATTAATATTATCAAAATATTAATTTTGAAGTGCAGATAATTAATGCTATAGATTAACTTCTCTAAAGATGCTCTCAATATCTGATCACTATCTGAGGTAGAATCATCGAATTGGTCTACCCAGCCAAAGCAGTCACAGTCCTCTGTTGATATATTCCTTGAACACCTATAAAATTTTATCTCGCAGCTTAGTTCTCTTCGTGATGTAAATAGAAAATACTGCAATCCAAAGTTGCACTTAAAAACTCCAGAAGCACCAATAGTCTTCAAGCTCATATTTATTTAAAATTGAAAATCATAAACATAAAATTAGCCTGTCTTAAAACTATAACGATACACTTATATGAACAATTAAATAGTAAGTGTAGAAGAAATACATAGATAAAGATTTATAAAACGACGTGGTCTTAGAACAAAAATAAATTGACAAACAATCTGTCATTACAAAAAGATAAAAGACTTTAAATAAAGAAATCTTTGTTTATTTTAAAAGATGTAATACCGAGCTTGTATATGACACATAAACATATCAGCACAAAGACCCTTCGAAGAACCCCAAAGTCATATGACTGAAAAAGAAGGGGATCTCGATTGTCTTGATATCAATCTTATATATGTTAAAATTCACCACAACATAAAAGCCATTCAAAAGAACCACTAAGGTCATATATCTCATCGTAGACCTCCACGTAAGCAAAAGAAATTATATTAAACTCACGGTTGCTTAGGAGGCTATCACAAATACAAGCTGAAAGAATAAAATAAAAGAAACACTGCAACAAATAGATATTCCACAAAAATATCATTGCATAAAAAGTCATTACAATAAACATTAGACGTTTACACAGGAAACTAAACATAAATAAATAAAAACAAATACACAACATCATTTCACCCATTAACTATTGCATTTGTAATTTACTCTCTCAACTCTATAATTTCCCCTACAACTTTCTCATCCTATGTACATGACTCGCCTAATTCAAAATTAGCTTGTGATACTGACTGAACTAAGAGATAACCATATGCTAAATATCACTATGTGAAGGATACCGAGTTTGATGAATGAGCTCTACTCAACTCACTCCAACCCACAAATTTCACAATTTTGAATCATTCCATCAAAATAGAAGAGGAGAAAAAATTGCATCAAAATAATTAAGAACTAAGACAAAACAATATATAAGAACAAAATGAGCTTTATAAATTAATGTGGTAATAACATGAAGCAATCATCTTTCCTAAAAAATGCATGTGAATATATGTCATTAGCGTGTCTTCTAGTCATCAAATAACTTTTCTATCAATAGGTGGTTTTATTAGGATGCATCTTTGTCTCTCAAATCTCATCGATGCTATTTCACTTAGCATATATCTCAGAGTTGGAACTATCATCAACGAGTCTCCACCACAAAATTTCAATAGTTTTTTCTATAATCCTATGAAAGCACAAGAAAAATCCATTCTACTCATTTATTACCACATACAAAAATATGAGAGTCAAATACACATACACCACATGGTGACGCCAAATGAATTACATTATGATGAGTGTGATTAAAAAGCTTCACACAAGAGACAAAGGCCCTAGTTTTAGGAATCCCTATAATGAACATTAACTTCTTGGTTCAAGTCAAAAAGAACATCAATGACTATATTTTAGCTTTCAAATCAATCATCAAAAAAAAAAAAAAAACTTCATTTTTCTAATTTTTAGATAACTACGAGAGCGAGAGACAGCCTCATCTTTCGCTTTTCCACCACATAATTCTACCAGGTCTCAAAATACAGAAAAAAAAAAAAAAACCCAAAAACTCCCGCCCAATCCCACCAGGGCTCGGAAACGAATAAAATTCCAAAGAAAGCCGCACTGTCTGAGCACAAACATAACCAGGATAATAGGAAACCTCAAGAAAAAATAAAAACGGCCAGTACCAAGCCGGAGCAACATTCCTAGAATAAATCCACAAATACTAAACCTAGATCATATTCCACGATAAGGAAAGAATGCTAGATCTCTGAAATGGGAATGAGAATAGAGAGCAAGGCGATAACTAGATCCATATTAACTCAATGGAATCACCATTTGGAAATCCCGAGGAGCATCGTCGGGAAGATAAAAAAAAGTTTGCGCCAACAGAAGAACAAGATATTAGAACAATAAAACTTTTACCTCATCATCTGATTGAAGAAGAAGAAGAAGAAGAAGAAGACGAAGAGCTTTGTCGTTCACTGCCCTTTCACGGTCTCGGCCTCTCTCACTCTCGGCTTCTCTCGCTTCAGGTATCACATTGTTGCAGCGTTTTCCATCCTACCTACCTACATGATAAATTAGATATTTTGGTAATTTCGCGGAGGCTTCTGCACGACGAAAGACAAATGCCAGGCCGCATTTCAACTTTTTTACACTAAAAGCGCGAAATGTGCTTAAGGTGTAGTTCTTAAGCGTCGGTTTGACGCACGTGTCGATTCTCAGTTTTTCAACTGCACGGGAGGAGGCTATATATTTGTTGCAGCTGTGCCCTTCTAAGAAAAAAAAGAACATGCTGCCCCTCTTGAATAAATGTATTTGTAACGAAATCTTGACACCAATATATTTGATATAGCAGAAATAGAAATACACTTCAAAACATAATAAACAAACACAGATAATTTTTCTCTCGAAGGGCATTTTCACGGCATAATATTATTCCAAAATAAAGTAATATTTTTCAAAATTAAAATGAACCTAAAGAAATAATGAGATATAGAAGAAATTTGGGGGTTTGCAGAAGTTAAAAACAAGTTCCAAGTGGATCAAATCCATAGAACTTAAATCCTGCTCAAATCCAGCTACCAAAGACATCTCTTTCTGACCTGAAGACCATAAAAGAAATGGAGAAAAAGAAATTCGAATTTAGCAGCTCAGATTCACCTTTGTTCAATATGAAAGCTGAAGCACCCATCATTTTTTCCACCACCAATACACGGGATGCAAAGGTTACCAAATGAAACATCCACATGTTCTCCATTAATGGCGCATGGATTAGGAGTTGCCAGTGCGAAGAGAAGGATTGTCTCTGTTCCTTCTTGAAGAAAACAGAAAAAAAAAAAAAAAAAAAAAAAAAAAATCTTACCAGTGCGCGTGAGGAACTCGTGAGAAGGGAGGAGGAAGCAGCTTTGTTGCGTGAGATGCATTGGAGAAGAGGAGGGAGCCATCGGGAAAAGAGGAGACGAGGTGAGCAGATCGCGGTTCGTGAAGAAGAGAAACAGGCGCCCCAAACGCCTATCTTCAATTTCTTCTTTTCATTTCGCTATCCATTAAATTACATACTCTCAAATATATTTACAATTACATACTTCATTTTTTTTTTAATTTTATTTATGCTTCTATCTCGCACCATGTAAACTTGCACGTGTAAGCATTTTAAAAAGCTATTTTCAAGCCATGGAATGTAATAGGGCTGTCAAAAAAGCTCGTTGTTCGTGAACAGTTCGTGTTCGGTTCGTCAATGAGTTCGTGTTCGATTCGTTCGATAAGTAAACGAGACAAACACAAACATTTTTTTCGTTCGGTTAGTTAAACGAACCAAACATGAACAGTGATGCGTTCGTTCGTGTTCGAATCGTTATTGTTTGAAATATAAAATAATATAAAATAATTATATATAAAAAATTTATTATATTTTAAAACATTAAATTTTATAAATTATAATATATAATAAAATAATAATAATAATATATTAATATACTATAGTAGTAATATAATATTGAATATTTATATAATATAAGTTATATAATTAATATATAATATTATTTTTATATATTAATATTAGGGATGTCATCGTTCGTTAAGAAACGAACACGAGCTTATTTCAAACAAACTAAATTTTAAACGAACCGAACACGAACACATGCTTTGTTCGTTCGTGTTCGGTTCGTTTACACCCCTAGAATGTACGTCCCATCTCTTTTCCAAAGAAGCATTTCATGAAAATTTTATTTTAATGACAATATTTATGATATATACATATATATTATATTATGAAAAAAATTAGAAAAAAAATAGTATTACACAAGTACTACCATTTCAGATCATCTACGTAATAATTTCACTTGTAATTTTCGGAAAAATATAATAATATATATATTTTTTAAAGTTGGTATATTTAAAAACTTAATTTCATACTCAGCAAATATTATCTGGTCTGTTGAAGTAGATTTTATTTATACGTTTAAAATAAATAAAACAAAATAATCACCCTCAAGGCATGCGTTTACAAGCATCTCACAATTTTTTTAAGAAAATAAAAAAATAATAATAATTAAGCAATAATAATAAAACAAAACAATAAAAAAAAATCACTCCAACACACCATATTTTTCTATCTAAAAAAACTTAATTTTGAAAAAGTCACCCTCATTGGACAATCAATTGTTTTAAGAAAAACAAATCAGCATTCTGCTGATGAACATTACATTACACAAGACAATTTTACTTGGCCATTAAGTTAAAAACATATTTATACATTACGCCATGCTCACCTTTCAAGGCAAGCAAGCATGGAATGATTGATACAACCTGTCTACAATTTTGTTAGCCAGTCTTTTATCCTAATCAAATTAAAATATACAAAGGAAAAGAACAAAAAAATTTGTGCCGACAGGCTTGTGAAAACTTCCTCCGATGTACAACTTGTATGGTCATGTTCCGCCATTCAGTTTTGCCAGAAAATGGCTGAGATCGTATTCATCCGAATATTGAGACTGATCCCAAAGCTCCCCAAGTCCACTGAGTATGGTCTTCAGGCCTTTTTTGCCTGTTGTCCTGGAATCCTGATCCACACCGTAGGAACTTGAAGCCCCAGAAACCTGACAAAAAAAAGTTTAAATAAGCGTGTTCATACGGCTAATATTATTTAGGGGCATTTACATACATACCACTTAATTCCTATATATTGACATATCTAACACCTATACTTTACTTCTAACATAGAAACCCTTCAGTCATGTGGTCAGAATGGATTACATGGGAATAATTCTCAAAGTTCTCGATTATTTTTAGTGGAATTTACATATATATCACATTTTTTTTTAAAGATTTGCATATCTAACAACTAAATTTTGATATTTATATAACACTTTTAGAGTGATAATAAGTGTATTTCAGTTTAAAAAAGTTAACATTAGTACATTCTTATGCGACGTTACCGATTTGAGTGCCATACAAATAAATGTTAAATTTTAGGTGTTACCATATAGAAGTATGGAAGAATTATGTAGTATGTATGTAAATCCCCTTATTTCAACCAAGATTATGCAGAAAAATGGATTACCTTTACAGAGGCTGAAGGAGTAAACAGATCAAGCAACTGATCTGTGTTCATTGTTTTAAGGCTAGCATTCTCCGCGTTAATTACAGCATTAGCAACAGAGAGTTTGAACTTCTGAAGACTCATAACCTTCTCTTCCAATGTACCGCGCATGATGAGACGGTGAACATTTACAACTTTTCGCTGGCCCAACCTATGTGCCCTATCCATTGCCTGAGATTAAACAAAGCATAACACATGAGAAGTAGGTGAATATTCCATATGTTTCTCAGTATGGCAGCAACCAGGAAATCGCTAAGAATATTACCGCATTGTAAAGGTAAAATTTAGACCAAGAGTACAAACATAAGTTAAATCATTTTTTTCTTCTTCTTTTTAATTATTATTATTATTATTATTATTTTGTTTTTTTTGAAGCTATCTAGAAATGACAGTCCAGTAATTGTCAAAGAACTTGGGTTCCATAAATCAAATACAATATCTTCCATGTCCACTCATTTTCACAGGCATCAACATGTGTTGAAAATCTGTGGAACATGAATATTAGGACGAGTTGCATCATAAAACCCAAATATTTGCCTAGCAGCCATAGATTAGTATTCAGCGTATTTTCAAATTAATCAAACTTAACAAACCAAGCACATTAATAACATTTCCGCATCCTATATGATACCTTATACCAGCTTTAAAAACCTTCTAAAGTATATCCACTGCCATTCTAAATTAATAACACAACTATTTAATAATTATCATTTGATCATACATCAAAGACAACTACAATGATACATGCACCAATACTTGCATCTTAACGTCCTAAAAAACTTCAGGTTTCCTCTTCAAACTTATACTTGAGCGCCTAAAATTTATGTAACAAGATAATTTTCATGTTTAAAGCACCTTCAAAAGGCGTATACATACAAGCCACTTCAAATGACAACAAATTCTTTGAAGGTATTTCAAAACTGCAGAAACTGAATACAATGCTTACAAGTAAAATGGAACGCTTCTGGTCTCAAATAAAATAAAATTTGTTATTAATGAATGATATGACTGTGGTATAAGTCAATATATCCGCAGTCATTCAAGCATTCACAGTTGGTACCGCCTTAAATTTCCGGGCCACAGAAAGCCCTGTGTTGGTCATATTATCACGCCAAAAGAAAAATAATTTAATTTCAATTATTTTAATTTAAATTCATTTATTTTGTTTTATGTTAAATTATCGTTTTAGAAAATTTTAGTATGGATTTAATTTTGATCTTATCACTAAACCTATTTCTATATAAAAAAATGGGTGAAGGTTATACTTCTAACGGATCATTAAATTGAAAAAAAATAATTTGAAAACAGAGTTTTCTATAGCCCTCCTTCTAGGGATTCCCCCTTCAAGGGTTTCTCCAAGCTGATTTTTTATACCCTTGCCTCCCCGAGTTATTGATTCATCTATTTCTTCAATTAAATTGTTTCTCACTACCTCATCGATTCTCCTTCTACACTAGATTCTTTAATTTTGTTGTTCCTATTTGTATTAGTTTAATGTTAGAGTTCTGCTCTGAAACATTCCTTCCATTAACCCGGCTTTTGCACCAAATAGCTCTCGTCTACAACCACGACTTGTTTACTCCAAACCCTAATTTTCTCCCCGATTTTCATAAGCACTTTGTATAATCCAACACATCGATTTTGTCAATGAGGCTTACCTGATATCTCCATTGCTTTGCAGTCCTCAATAATCCTAATCTCTGACATGTAAAATCACAGAGCCGCACGTGCCAACAACCCTTTCCTGGTTCTGCACACACACACACACACACACAAACAAGATACTTAATCCATCAGCCAAGTCAAAATCAATCTACCGCATCCGTGAAGACCTCCAAGCATCCAAAGGTCACTCTAGAGTGTTCACTTTGTTGTCTCCCCACTGCTTGCATCTACAAGTGACTTGTTTCCATACCCTTTTCTGCATAAATACTAAATTATTTGCCAACTCTTCTATCATTTTTAACTTGCATATTATAGGGAAGTATTAATCCACAAGCTTAATTAGGAAGGAATTTATTTTCTTCTCTCAGGATATATTTCACTAATTGTGCTTCCTTCTATTTATATTTCCTGTTTTTCTATTCTTCCCTATTTGGAAGGATTCCTATTTTGTTTCCTTTCATTATTATATATATATATATATGTAGCAAAGTGTAATGCAAAGTGGAGCAAGAAATAAAATTATTTTTAGATTTCTACATTGTATCAGAGCTACAAAGCTAATTCGTTCGAGTTCGTGGCCGCAACCTTGTTTCTCGGCTGCTAAACTGTCTCCATCGTCCACTGAAATCTTCGAGCTCGAAGTGCCAAGGCATTCTTTAGGTCACCAACGACAACTCTATCAAGCGAAACATTGAACCAAGCTTTCTTGTCACCAACAATGATGACGGATACATAAGATTCTTCGACGCTATTTTCGACGCCAACCTTAACCTTCACTGTAGCGTCCAAAGACATCTGAAACTCCCATTGTCTCTCCTTGCATGCCAAACTCTGCCCACAACGACAAAATCAGATCATACGGAGATCTTGCTTGTCCTCTTTGAACACAATGACGAAACTCAGTCACTCTTGTACAAACGCATCCGCAAAGTTCGAAAAGTTTGAGGTGGATTTGGCTCCTACGATCAACTTATGTAGATAAGTTGAATGCTATGCTTAATTTTTCGCATATCGTTTCTACCTTCGAGTGGCTAAAACAACAAACGATTCAGCTTGCCCTTGTCGCCCTCCCATGAGTCGCTCTGTGAACACATGGGAATAAAAAATTGTGCACCTCAATTTATTTTATGTTCCTTCGTCCAACCGAACAGTTGAACTAAGGGTCCTCCTCCCTCTAGTTCTTGTTTGATCATCCTGTCAAGCAGTCAAACTAACAATACTTCTCTCAATTTTGATCATGCGACAAGTCTTCTCGATTCAGATTTCACAAGCTAATCATGTTCAAACATGTCAGGACCTCACAATCTTCTTCCACGGAAGTCACCTCTAGATTCAAGCCTACATCTTCAGTCCCTATTAGACCTAACAACTCCTCTCATCTAGTCATGAATCATAAACTACATTGCCATAATTTTCTTCAATGGCCCCATTCCATCTTCAAGTACATCTATAACATAGAAAAAAATAAACATCTCATTGGCAAAATTTTGACTCCATAAATGATGGATTTCAAACAAAGGCCTAAAAAATTGATGACCAAAAAGTTATGTCATGGTAACACACAAGTTGGAGATAACTTCCTATTTTATAAGACAATCAAAGAGATATAGAAGTTGTAAGGAAACTGTGGAAACCAATTTGAGAGATTCGAAGCAAAACTTAGAACAAAAGCACACAAAGTAATAAAATACATAAAAAATGTTAGGAACACAATGATTTAATGTGGACATACCCAAGAGCAGGAAAACCCCGCCGAGCCGCACCACACCATGAAATTCACTTTAAGAAAAGAAGAAATATACAGATTAAACCACACTCAAGCCTCTTTACACTCCAAGAACTCAAGAACACATTGGAACGCTCCTAGCCCTATCACACGAGATATCACAAAAATCCACCCACAGAACTCATTTGTTCTTCCGCATGTAATGCTCATTCTATTGGCACACATTCCCGCAATAAAAAAAATATGAAATAAAAATTCTTGAACTACATAAATCAGTTATATGCGCCTAAGCTCCACCCCCAAGCATTGAGTTTTTAGGTGCTCTATTTCTGGCATTGGAAACGAGCGTGTATGGGCACGACAACGCCCCTCCTGGGTGTCGATTTTACGAGCGCCCTGATCTAGAGTTGTTCCTAAGTGCCTAACCAAATGATACGGAGCCCATCCAGGCAATGGGAGGCCCAACCAAGTGCTATTATGTTTCAAAATTTTCAAAATCAAGCTCCATACAAAACAATCCCACTTGGAGAATGATTACAACCAAGCTTGCACCTTCAAATATGTATTGTTTTCATAGTAATGTATTGTAGTATGCCTCACCCCTTGGACTCAACATGCATAAACTCCGACTAAAGCCAAGAATAGATTTAGTTTCTCAATTGTAACAATCTTAGCCAATATATCTGCAAAATTTTGAGCTATGTGTATCTTCTCTAAAAATGAATTATCATCTCTAGGAGTGAACAAATGAAGTGATACCTTAGTTGTATGTGTTTTGTTTTGACATTAAATGTGACATTCTTTGCTAGATGAATATCACACATACTGTCACTATAAATCTTTCCAATATCGTGCTTCTTACCCAATTCTGTTATAAAGCTTTACATCTAAATCATCTCCTAACTAGCTTCAAAGATAACAATGTACTGGACTTCTATAGTTGAAAATGCAACAATCTTCTCCAACTTAAAAATCAAACTCACTATTGTGTTTTACAATGTGAAGATATAACAAGTACTTCTACCATCAATATCTCCTGTCAAATATGAATCCTCATATCCCTGTAGATTAATCACTACATCTAAAAAATAAAGCACATTGTTGATTGTTCCACTCAAGTATCTAGAAATCTACTTCATTTCCTCCCAATGATGTTTCCCTGGATTGTGCATGTACCTACTGACCACTCCCACTACATGTGCAATATCTGGTCTTGTAAGTATCATCACATTTATCAAACTTCCAACAATTGAAGCAATAAGAGGTTCTTTTCATCCATGTTCACTCTACTTTAGAATTAAGAAATTGTTCCTAATAGAGCTTAAAGTGAATACCTAAAGGCAAACTAGCTGTCTCACTCAAGATGAACTTATGTAAAACATTATCAACATATTATGCCCAAGAACTTCAAAGTAATTGCATTGATGTCCATGCTAATTCTCATATTGAGGATCTTCTTGGTTGGACCTAAATCATTCATTTCAAACTCCCTTAATAATTGCTTTTTCAAGATCCTAATGTTCTCTATATCTACATCTGCAATAAGCATATCATTCACATACAAAACAAGCATGATATAATAATTATCAAAATGTTTGATGAAACAGCAGTGATCTCTTGGGCACTTCATGTACTCATTATCAGACATAAATATGTCAAATCTCCCGCACCACTGTCTTGGGATCTTTCAAACCATAAAAGCTTTTATTTAGTATACAAGCCATGTCTTCTTTTCCTAAAATTTCAAATCCCTATGGTTGCACCAAATACAACTCCTCTT